CACACACACACACACACACACACACACACACACACACACACACAGCCAGTCCCCAAGTTACAGAAGGTCCAGGCTAGACAGAGGGGGAAACCAAGGCCCAGACTGTGGCTGGGACTGGGACTGCCCGACTCAGGATGCCGGGTGCCTGTCCCGCTTGCTGCTCCTTGTCCTGCAAATCACAGCCTACACCAGACCTAAAGCCATTCTGCCACCAGGCAGGAAGGTGTGGCTCTGTGCCAATACAAACGTGCCACCTACCTGTCCAGTCTACCTATCCAGATGCCCAAGGGCAGCTGGGTAAGACAGCGCAAATACTGCCTCCTCCAGGCAGCCCTCCCTGATGGCCCCCACAAGAAGGGACCGCCTCCTCACACCCTGTCAGCTGCACCACAGTCCACCGGGCCCCCCCCTTCCACACTTGCCGTGACTACGTTATATCTGGTTATTTGAGGCCACACAGCAGGTGACTCTGATAGAGGGCCACCCACTTCCCTGCCTGCCAGTCTCCTGACTGCCCCCTGCCTTGGGCTCACCCACCTATCCATTCCCTAGGCCAGTGCCAGCTGACCATCCTGAAGGGTAGCTCTGTTTGCAGCTCCCCCTCAACAGCCTTCTCTGGGTCCCCAGCAACACCAGGCTGAAGGCCACACCCCCACACTGATGTTTGAGGCCCCTCATGTGTCCGTCCTGACCCTCCCGTCCAGGCGGCCCTCTCCCTGGCCTGCCTCCCACGCCAGCTGCGGCCTCTCCGGGGCAGGCACGTTATTCTGAGAACCCTCAGGACCTCCACTGCCCAGTCCCTGACTCTTCCTTGCTGCTGGGCCTGGCTTCTCCGCCTGGGGGGCTGCCCCATCTTCCCAGCCGTGGCTGCTCCAAGCCAGCACGTTGCTTCTGTCCCGTCTCCCTCCTGAGGAGCTTGAGGGGGCAGCCCCTCCAGCCATGCTCTGACCCTGCTCCCAGCTCTCAGCAGCCTGCAGAGCAAAGTCCAAGTCCTCACCAGCCTTCCCCGGGGTCCTGGCGTGCCACGCCTCTGAAGGAAGCAGGACCTTTCCCAGCCTGGCTACGGGAGCCTGGGAAAGACTCCTGACCTCTCTTAGCTTCAGTTTTCTCGTCTGTAAGATGGGACAATACTGCTGACCTCACTGAACAGGCTGAGGCGATGACGGAACACATCAGGTGAGGGGCCCTCTGCTCTTAGCCGGGAAGACCTGCATCTTCAGGCCCGGCTCCCCTGCCACATTCTGGAGAGCTCACCGCCCCTCCCCTACATCCTGCCATGCCACCTCTGAGAGGCCCTGGCACTGCTCCGCCCGGCCCAGCCTCTGATGTCAGCACTGAGGCCATCGCTTGAGTTCCCATGATCCCAGCAGAGCCAGGCTGAGCTGTGGCCATGTCCCCCCGAGAGCAAGGTCCCGAGGGAGGTGCAGAGGGGAGGGCTTACCTGGTGGCAGGTGAGCACCAGGGCGGTCCACACGAAGATGCCTGAGATGCCGCGGGCCAGTGCGGTGGTGAGGAATAGCTGGGAGGTGCCCTGGGAGCTGTTCCCCATGCGGTCCATCTGCAGCCCGGGGGGCACGGCGGGCATGGCTGGCTGGGGCTTGTGCTGCAGCCAGGCTGCCCAGACCAGGGGGGCGTCGGCTGCTCCCAGGAGCCCTGAGGCATTAGTCATCTGCAGAGGCAGGGAGGGCACGGGGAGGAGAGAGCAAAGGTGTTCTGGAGGCCGGAGCAGCCCAGGGTCTGGGAGGGCGGGGGGTACTGGGGGAGGGCTCCCCCGGCTGGCAGCAGGCGCCCAGGGCTGCCCTGGCATTGGTCACTGTCCCTTCCGTGAGAGTCTGCTATGCCCACTTCCTACTCCCAGCAGCCCTGGGTGCCCTCTGTGCTTAGGGACCGGCCTCCAAGGCCTGGGCCTGGGCGCTTCCTTCCTGGGGCTCAGCCACCTGGGTGACTGTGACCTGTGGCAGTCCCCACCTCTGGTGCCCTGGGCTTGTGGGGAGCTCGCTTTTTAGGGACCAAAGGCATCTGGGACAATGAGGGAGCCCCAGTTGCCTGGCCTGCCTGGGGTGGAGTCTGGGGAGCAGGCCAGACTGGCACAGCGTGCAGCAGCGGGGGACGCGGGGGTGCAGTCCAGCACCCACGGGCTCCCTGGGGCCGTCCTGCCTGGGTGCCCAGCTTTGCCACCCGCTAGCCCCACATACCTGTTCTCAGCCACTTGCCAACCTGCTGGGGCACTGGGCACCTCCTTCCTGCTATGCTTCTGGCCCAGCCCTGGCTTCCACCCTCCCTCTCGCCTGGGTCACTGGGCCCAGCGCCTACCTCTCAGGCAGGGAGCTCCTGGCCCAGCCCTGGAAGGCCTGGCCTTCAGGGAAGCCTGGCTGGTCATCCGTGTGGGCTTCACTGGCGGCCCCACTGCAGGTGGCGCAAGGCTGCTACCTGGAGGCTGCACCAGGCCTGGGGGAGGG